CTACTTTACTAAGTGTGTCGCCCGCTTCGCCCGCCCCCAAAACTACTTTACTAAATGTGTCGCCCGATTCGCCCGCCCCAACAGCTACTTTACTAAATGTGTCGCCCGATTCGCCCGCCCCCAAAACTACTTTACTAAATGTGTCGCCCGCTTCGCCCGCCCCAAAAGCTACTTTACTAAATGTGTCGCCCGCTTCGCCCGCCCCAAAAGCTACTTTACTAAGTGTGTCGCCCGATTCGCCCGCCCCAAAAACTACTTTACTAAATGTGTCGCCCGATTCGCCCGCTCCAAAAAGCTACTTTACTAAATGTGTCGTCCGCTTCGCCCGCCCCCAAAACTACTTTACTAAATGTGTCGCCCGCTTCGCCCGCCCCAAGAACTACTTTACTAAATATGTCGCCAGCTTCGCTAGTTATATTAGGTCTCGTGTGCGTGACGGAGCTATATTGGTTCTGCCTCGGGCAGGCAGCAGCTCGATTGGAGAAAGAAGCTCAGGACTCCACGTTTTACTATTTAAAGTATTTTGCCTGCGGCAGGATGTGGTGTAATCTATGCCATTTAAATTGGTCTTGCAGTTGTCTGGCTGATGAACAAATAGCAGTAGCAACCTGCCTAAAGTCCAGAGATATTCAGATACACCTCGTCACATGCTGTGTCTCTCCACGAGGAAGCTGCCAAGCGGAAGGACTTCGAGGAGGCTGGGAACTGTTGTAGTTAGTTGTATCGTGGGTTTAGTTTTTTGTATCTATCGGCGTTCAAAAGAATCCTGGGGTTCTCAGAATTGATGCTTTCGCCCTCCCATTGCAGCCCAAGCCAGGCTCAAACTCAAGCCCAACCCAAGACACCTTCCGTTGCCAGGCCTTGGATCGCTTCACTGCGGAAACGGACGACCTGGAAGAAAAGAAGGCGGCCTCAGGGCTTCGTCTGTAGACTGGGGGTAAGGGTATGTCTCGGCCTTGCAGCATGGGCTTCTGCCACCAGAGTGAGACTTGACATGACATGAACCGCAGCTTTTTGGATCAAATGTCAAAGCAGTGCCGACTCTGGGAGGGTGTCCGCCTATGACTACTTCAGAAAGTCTTTGCATTCGCTGGCTGTTCATGATCCGAAAGAACCTCGGAACAGACGAGCGGCGCCTCGAGCTGGTGGATTTCGATTTCGAAGGCATTCGCAACTGCGGTATGTTTGTTCACACTTACCTGCCACCGCCTCTCGAGCATGTCAGGGGCCACGTGGAGTTGGTCACAGACACGATGTCTACTCTGAGGTATGGCTTGCTAGACGACTTGGAGGTAACCTACGTCAGGACAGGGTATGTACCCAGAAAACCGCTCGGACCGCTGTGGAAGGGGTTGCCCTACGAGCTCCAGGTTGGACTTGACTTTATGGAGCAGCATTGGAAGGAGCTCACAACGGATGCTCCAACTGAGTGCGTGGAGGCCCTGAAGTCCTTACGAATGGCAGCAGCTTTCTTGAAGGCTGTGTGCGAGGGGCCGCACACGGAGCTTAGCCCCGTGCAATGAGACCGGCCGGGTCGGAGAGCTGGAAAAAACCAGTGGCTTGAAGCAACGTGTTGACCTTAGTAGAAAAACAGCTTCCATGTTCCAGGACAGGGCAGCTGCGGATGGCCCTGGCGGCGAGGCCTGGCTGTCTTTGGGGTTCGGTTTGGTGGTTGTGAGCCAGTCTGACTGTCATCGGGCGGGGGAGGGTGGCAAACCAGGGAAGGTCGGTTCCAGGGCCGAGTGAATAAAGTTAGCTTTCATTTTGCAGTGGCTTCGGTTCCGTTGAGTCTGCATCACCTCATGTCATGCTGGCCGCTGTTTCTGGGGAGCCAGACAGAGTAGCTGTGTCTACTTGTCCAGGAATGCCGTCGCAAGATCAAAGATGCTTTGGAGGAGGAGCGGCAGAGAGCCAAGGCAGGAGGTAGCCAGGCTTCTAACAACCGACCATGGTACTGCAGCAGGCTGCACAGAAGAAGAAGCCGTCGAAGCCGAAGAAAGGCAACAGCTGAGGTCGGTTGGGTCTCTCCTCGGGGTTTCTGCTGATTCCCAAGCGTGTCATGCTCGCTTCGCCAGGCCATTGCTGGATGGTCCCGGATCCAATTGCCGAGGCCAGGTCAGGAACTTTTAGTTGTATGTCGGTGTCAACTCTGGCTCGATGCTGGCATCTTGTCAGCTTTCCGCCTGTGCATTGCAGTAAACTTGCAGATCCCGGCATTGTAACATGGTTGCAGCAGCTCTTTGACGTAACTAAACCAGCAGGAAGGCAGCAAACTCCTAACATTACAACTGCATGAAACTGAAGTTTACCGAAAAAAACTGCAAGCATGTCGGCAAGACGACAGCATGGCACTACAGTTGCACTAGCCGCAGACCAACGTTACATCAGCATTATGTCAGCATTACACAGGCAAAAAACTGAAAAAAACTACGGCCGGCGCTCGGGTGCATGCTCGGAGTTTTTCGTGCCGCAGCATTTGGTTAAGCAGGGGAGTCATCCTGGTGGCCTCAGGAAAACGGTCACTTTCTAACAGTGGTCAACCTGAACCTTAAACCTTCACCGTAAACCCCGAACCCCTAAAACCCTAAACCCTAAACCCTAAACCCGAACCCCAAACCCTAAACCCTAAACCCGAACCCCTAAACCCTAAACCCTAAAAGCTCAAAGCCGAAAACCGTCGCTAAATTAGACCCTCGGCCTTACATTTAAACCCTGACCTCCAAACCCTCATAAGCCCTAATTAATTGCAAAACCAATATTCATCAGAGCATTGAAGCACCGTAGACTTAGGAGACAGAACAATGCATGCCACGTGCCGCCACGAGTGTGAGTGGAGGCACGGAGACAGCAGCGGTACCAGACTCCAAGGATGAGGAAGTGAGCTTCCCATTTCCTGTAGCAACTGTAGGGGCGGACAACGGCACATTCCGGGCTTTCCGAGAGCTAGACTGCGACTGGCGCTGGCCAGTGCGGCATGTGCACGAGCACTTGGAGCATGTTCGCAAAAGTGAGTACAGATGGATGCAGTCGCTGCAGACTGCCTTCACCGAGGATCTCGAAACCCTGCAGGTGCACAGGAGCAGCCTTCGTTTCGCTGCGAACACTGATACGTACAGGTGGGGCACGACTGTGACAAGCAAGGCTTTGCTGGTGCTTTTGCTGGGCATCCCAAAAGCAAAGAAACTGGATCCAAGAGGGAAGCAGAAGGCCCTGGGGCTTGCAAAGGCCTTAGTGGAGGTGGCTTTGAAAGAGCTGGGCAATGTCGTGGCAGAGACCCTGCCCTGTTCCGTCTCGATTTGGTCTCCACGGCTGCGGCAGTATGTGGTCATGGAAGTGAAGTTCACTGCTACGGGTCTTGCCTTGTTTGCGGAGACTCTGATGCAAAATGTGCTGCTAGGATTGCAAACATTTGTCAGGAAAGATTTTATTTCTGCTGGAGGTTTGTCTCCTCACTCTCCTTACTCCCTCACTCCCTGACTCACTCCATTTACTCACTCCCTTCACTCCCTCACTCACTCCCCTAACTCCCCTCACTGCCTCACTGAGTGCCCTGACTCCCTCAGTGACTCCATGCACTCACTCCCCGCACTCGCCGCCCCTCTATCCCCAAAGTCTCCCTGACTCAGTCCCCTCCCTCAGTGACTCTCGTCACACCCCCTCCACCAAGGCCTGGAGTCCAAAAGCTGTGGCAAAAGCTGCAAGAGGAAGCATGGTGCGGCCATCGCATCCAGACAGCGGAAGAGAGGGCTGGCGCTGGGGACATTTTGCTGCTTCTGGCCTGGGTGTGGACGCACCCAGCTCACAAGAGCCTCTGGGTTCACGTGGGATCTCGGCTGTTGCCGCAGATGATAGCTACAGCTGGGTTCTGGCTGGATGGACTACTTGATGTCAGATGTCAGCAAATTCCGACACCAGTGCCTGTGCAGGCTAAGGGCCGCCATGCAGACCCAGTGAACGTCGTGATCTTGCTGCATCGCTTGAGGCGGAAGAAGTTGGGTCGCAGTGCAACCGCCAGCACTCACGAAGACATCACGAAGAAAGAAAGCCGACTGATGAAGTACGAGCATTTCGTGGAAAGCTCCATGTATGCAGCACACCTCATGGAGACCTTCGCAGGCGAGAAGCAGCTCATGATCTCATGGGATCCGAGTGATTACGGTGGCAGCAACACATTGGTGGGGTGCGTGTACTCGCACAAACAGGATAAGGCAGGCTACGCCATCATACAAGAGCTGCGACGGCCACTTCTGCGGGAAGTTTGCGAGGAGCTGCAAAAGCTAGCACACGAGCAAGAGCTCTGCCGAATTGAAGGATACGTGGAGCTGCGTGCTTTATCCCACACATTGTCACATTTCGGGTTGGACTTCAGCCAACTGCAGGTTCCCAGTGATCTGCACTGCCGACCGTTGCAGCGGGGAGAAAGCAGGGAGCCATCAGCACAGGGCTGGTACAGGGTCGGCCCCGAGGAGGGTCGGCGTGTGCCTGAAATCCCACAGGGCTTCCGCTTGGACAATGTGAAGGCAGTCATCAGCTGCACTGATCAAGGACCCAACAACCGTGCTGGATTGCAGTATTTGCAATACAGCAAAAATGCAATTCTCCTGTTTGGGGAATGGGATCCATTCCACCGGAGCTGGAACGACTTGAAGCTGGCGATGCGGGGCACTATGATTGGCGGCGGGACTGCTTGGAAGACCGTTTTGGAGACAACTGTTATCTACAACATAGCATACGGCCCGTATCAAAGCTCAGCATGGATGGAGAAGAAGGTGAGCACGGCCAAGAACTTTTTTCAGCAGCACAGTGCTAACTCCGACTTGTTCGCGGAATACTCTCCTCTGATCTGTTGGGAGCGTGGCATCCCAGAGCCTAGCACTCAGTGCGGCCAGGAGTCCTTGTAGGAGTCCTCCCAAAGCTTAGTAGACCTAAGCGCTAAATCCTAAACCCTAAACCTATAGACCTAAACTGGCCAGGAGTCCTTGTACGAGTCCTTGCGAAGCATGAAACACCTGCAGAGCAAGGGACCACTGGTGAAGCTCATGCGGTGGCTGAGCTGGTTCCAGTCCAGCCGGTGGTATGCAGGTGATCTTTTGGCAACTCGAATGATATTCGAAAGCGAGTCGTATGCGGAGGACGATGTGGAGTTGAACACGATCACCGAAGACAGAGATACCAAGGATGCTGCAGAGGAACTGCGGAAGCTGAAGAAGAGCATGGGTCAGTGGAAGCTTTTTCCGAAGTTGTGCACGAAGAAAAACGTGCTGGTGTCGGAAATCCTCTGCATGGTCAGTCGTGCTACATGTGATGCACATGCAGACAATGCTAGAGAGAACATGAACCCGAAGGAGGTCTTGAATGACAGAGTGGCACGGGCCCAAGACAACGGCTGGTGCTTGGAGCTGGTCAAGATGGCCAAGCACTCCTTCGGAGACAGCGTGGCCTTGACAAAGATGTTTCGGTCAGAGGAGGAAAGCACAGTCCAGCTGCAGTGGATTCAGAGCTACTTCCGAAGCCTGTGCAAACAGCGGGCCATGTCTCTCTTTGCGGAGATGCAGGTGCCGCCACTGAAGTGGGCGGGACTTCTTGCAGCGAGCCCTGAGAGGTCCCGGGCAGCTCTGCGTGCAGCGAAGCGGGAGTGGGGCCAGTCGGCAGCAGCGTAATGTAATGATGTTGCCACTGTTTGTGACGGGTTTCGCTTTGATTTTTAAATATTTTTTTTGGTCTTTAGGGAAGGCTCAAAGGGACTGTCAATAGCGGCACACACGTCCCAGGCATCGTCATGCATGCAGAAGCCGCCTGGGCAAGAGGAGAGGATGTCCCGATACTGGACAGCGTGGTTTGGCAACGGATTCCGTTGGTGAGACTGCTGGGCATGGCCATCGCTGCTTGGTTCTTTTTTGGGGCAAGCTCCTTTGTGTGGTTGCCTGCTCGGCCGGTATAAGGGGGGTTTGAAAACCCCCTTTTTCGTAAACCCTAAACCCTAAACGCCTTTTCCCTAAACCCTCAACCCTAAAACAACGTTTGCTTTGAGTGATATTGGCCAGTCAGTGTCAGATCCAGTCTCACTCGTACTCAAACCCACACTCGAAGTCGCACTCGCACTCGCCTTGTCACTTTCACCCTCACATGCATACTTACTCTCAGTCTCTCTCTCTCTCTCTCTCTCTTCTCTCTCTCTCTCTCTCTCTCTCTCTCTCTCTCTGTCTCTCTCTGTCTCTCTCTGTCTCTCTCTCTCTCTCTCTGACCCTAAACCCTAAGGCCTCTTTTCCAAACACCCTAAACCGTAAACCGTTTGCTTTGAATGATTTGCGCAATGCTGAGCCTCTCCCTCTCACTCTCACTGTCAGTTCACTCTCAGTCTCACTGTCACTCTGACCCTGGCTTTCACCCTCACCGTCACTTGTCACCTCTCACTTCTCACTCTCGCTCCGTGTTTGCATCGAGGAGCGATGCGGGGATAATGTCAGCGAGGAAGCACGTGGTTTGATGACCTTGTTCCTTCAGACTCTGGGCGAGAGCCGAGTGGTTGAAAACACACATCAAACGGCCAAAGACATATTTGGCGGGGCAAGGCATGACAAGTCCTCCATCTGCAAGAGGCAACATGCTGTCTTGCACTCCCCTGCTTTGCCAAGCAAGGGGGTGGCATGCGTGCCGCTGCCCGGCAAGGCTGAGAAGGCCGAGTCGGGTTTGTGGGGTGCGGAGAGCAAGCTGGGTAGGACACCTGAGTTCGTCCGCAAAGCTCTTCCTGGCAGTCACAAGGTCTCCCCAGAGATACAGGCCATGATGAAGCCAAAGACCAGTGACCACGCGTGGCCGAGCCCGACCCCTGCAAGCATGTTTAGCAATGCATGCGCTCATCATGCACTCCAAGAACTTTGGCCAAACAAGATGGAGACATACTATTTGGCAGAAGTCATCGGGCAGCCAGGCAATTTGGTCTTTCAGAAGAGCAGCAAAAGGCTTTGCTACGTCGTCGCCGTGACTGAGTTTGCATGGGTCAGCTGGGAGATGAAGAATGCCGGCCTCGAGGACGGCGCAAGCCTCTGGGAAATGCCACTCAGCGGCAAGCAAACCCGGTGCCTGCTCTGAATGTAATGTGAACCCCTATGGTTTGGTTTAACTCGAGTATAGGCCTGAGTTGAACTGACCAAGGAAATTGGATCCGTCAGCCATTCGCTGCGAGACTGTCGTGGACCTGAAGATGTGGGCTCACATCCCGAGCGAGCTTGTGAGATCGCAGCGAACGGGCTGCCTCGTCTTTCGGACGTGCGGCAAAGCAATTTCGCTGCTGGAAGCACTGTGCTTGCAAGGAACACCATTGACAGTGGCCGCCTTGAAGCGTATCTTGCAGCATATGGCGGGGCCTGGGCCGAAGCTTGGCATGAGTGTCAAAGCAGATTCTTTGCGACGGATCTTGTACAAGGCGGTGTTTGGTGCAGACAGCAACAGATTGGCACAGGCGGAACAGGCATATTCGAAGGCCTCGCTTCGGCAAGCTGAGCTGTTGGAGGCAGACTTGCAGGATCCTCTCATGGAGCAGGTCTTGGAGGCCTTTCAAGAAGAACATTACAATGCCAAGGAAGTCCAAGACATGCAGAAAATCAAGAAACAGCGAAACAGCTGTAAGTCTGACAAGCTGCTGGAAGATGTGGTTCCTCGGAAAAGCAAGAAGATGCCCGTCAAGAGAAAAAAACCGTTGGGCGAGCAGTTCTGGCTGCGGGCTAGGAAGCGTGCGAAGCTGGAGGCAACAGAGACACCTGCGAGACATGATCAGGAAGGCCTTCCTGGCCCATCCAGTCATGCAGCCGCTTCGGCTTCTGCGGGGCCACAGCAGGACCAACCTCGAGCAGACCCGAGCAAGGGCAGGTCAACGGCTTTTGCGAGGAAGTGCGAGCAGACCCCAAAGGCACTGAAAACACTGCTGCCAGGCAGCGGTGCAATTTCTGGTGTCTTCTATGCCAAGTATGACGGGGACAAGCAGTTCTTCAAAGTGGAGTATCCCATCGGCAACCCGGCCGGATGAATATGCAAAGAATATGTAGAATTCATTCAAGATTGGAAGCAAATCTGCTGTCAGAAGGTGTCCGGTTTCTTTCCTTGTTGGAAGCAGGTCTACATACTACTCCACATGTTGTTTCTTGTAGATACGAGAGCCGTAGTCTTTGCTTTGACTTTGTCACGAAATCAATTCTTTCCTTCTTGGGTGCACAGTCTTGAGGTGACGTGCTGGAGAAAGACAGCATTCAGCGACAGTGGCCTACCGCTCGCTGCCCCGACAAAAAGACGGCTCTTCGATGCTGCATCGATTGGTGCTTCGATCGCTGGAACAAACTCAACGAAGACACTCCTTTCCAAAAGCATCTCGGCTGTTGCACAATTCAAGAGTTGTAAGAAGAAGATGTCACAAGTGCGTTTTTGCAGTGTTTTCATGTCTCCTGCCTTTGGTCACTGTCTCATGAACTGCCCGGGGTGTGCAGTGCTAGAGTTTCTGAGGCCGACAGATGACGCCTTGCAAAAGTACCTCGACGAGCATACCACCTGACAAGAACTAGGAAAAAGGTGGCTTGGCCAACAGATGCAAGATCGTGGTTCCTGTTCCAGTGGTTTAGGGGAATAGTCTTTAGGGGTTTCGGGTTTTGGGCTTTAGGAGTTTAAGGTTTAGTGCTTAAGGCTTAAGGTTTAGGGCTTAGCCCTAATGATTAATATGCATGATCATGAAGTCTCATGAAGCATCCTTTTAGTTGTCGTATCATGAGAATCTTTGTTTGGGGAGGCTGGCTAATGAATGCACTCACTGGCTCTGACTTTCAAGACCGCTCCGAGGGCAAGTGCTAAATCCACAGGCATTGTCGTCAGGCTTTAAGGTTCAGGGATTAGAATTCAGTGTTTAGGGTTTAAGCTCTAGGGTTTATGGCCAAAACATCCTAGTCTCAGCCTCTTCATGAGCATCGCGGGAGGAGTGAGCTGGGAGGAAGTGCATCTTGGTGAGCCTAAAGCCCTAAAGCTTAAAACCCGAAGCCCAATCGGAAATGCGTATTTCAAACCAAGAGTTTGGGGTGTTTCAGAGACGAGAGCCCAAGCCACATAAGTGAGCCACTCTGGACCCTCAAGCATAGGCATCCCCTTAAACCCTAAACCCTGAACCTCAAGCATCGTTTGGGTTTAAGGTTTAAGGATTTCGGTTTTGAGGTTTTAGGGTTTAAGTCTCTAGTGTTTTTAAGGTTTTAGGGTCCTAGTGTCTTCAGTGTCTGAGAGTTTTAGGATTTAGGGTGTTGAGGCTTCTAGAGTTGCAGGGTCTTGGGTTTAGGGTTTTAGGTTAGGGTGTAAGGTTTTTGAGTTCTAGGGTTTAGGGCTTTATGGCTTCAGGGTTAGGGGTTTTAGCTTCTAGGGTAAAAGGTTGCTAGGGTGTCAGGGTTTCTGGAGTTGTTCAGGGTGTTTAAGGTTTTAGGTTCCAGCGCTTCTGTCTGTCAGGGTTGAAGGGCAGGGCTCGAGAGTTTGAGGGTTTAGGGTGTAAGGGTTTAGGGTTTCATGGTTTTCAGGGTCTGGCCTCAACCCTACGGAAGCCCCTCGCAACGAAACTCCTGGACTACTCTTGAGAGTTTTCGGGTTTAGGCGGTTTAGGGTTTCGTCACCGGGTTTAGGGGCCAGGGTTGAGGTTGTGGTGCCACGATGTGCCACTCAAGTGTTTGTTTTTGCTTGCGGGGGCTTGGTTGCCGGCATGGTTTCGACAGCAAGGTTGGAATGTTGGAGGTTTTTGTCGGTAGCAAGTAATCACATTGTGTACACAAACGAACCTGACATATACATACACACACACACACACAAGCCCGAAGGAAACAGCCCGAAATCCCAGGACTGGCACTGCGACAGCCTGGACACCAGAGCTTGGAGGGTTGCTTTCGAAGCAAAAATCGTGCCTGCAACGACGGTGGCATTGCATTGCTGTGATGTCGTCGCGATTGAATTTTCGTTTGTGCCTCTGAAGCAATGATTTGCGGCCGGCGCTCTTGAGACCTGTGAAGCCTAAGCCAACAAAGCATGCACCATAGCCCTTGCTAACCCTTTGCATCAATTCCTCTGGGCAGGCTGATGAGAGCTGCTGACGGCTGAATCCAGCCACATGACGGATGCCACGGTGAAAAGCTCTGACCACATGGTCTCTGCCGTCTCTGACAGAGAGTTCCACATGTCGTGCAAGGGTTATAGTATTTCGGGGTTGAGGCTGTTGGGGTTTAGTTTAGCATCGGTTTAGGGTTGAGGCTCAGTGCGGAGCTTCTTTGGACTTGTCCACTGTTGACAACTTCTGCAAATCCAGGGAACTCGGGTTAAACTTGGGGGTCTTGGGCCGAGGACCTCAGATTCCACGGGCCGTCGTGCATTGTTGAGCGGGCTGTCGATTCGAGAGTCCCGGGGTGGCAACTCCAGGCTTCGATTGTGTGGCCCTGGATGCAGCATCACATGTCCGCACTTTCCAGCAGGCATCTGCAAACCGCGAGTGGAGTGAGGGAAAGAGGGGAGTGAGTGAGGGAGTGAAGGGAGTGAGGGGAGTATGGGGAGTGAGGGGAGTGACTGCATGGAGTGAGTGAGGGAGGTGAGTGAGTCAGGAAGTGAGGGAGTGAAGGGATTGAGTGAGGGAGTAGGGGAGTGAGGGGACGGTGGGCAGAGAGGGGCGGCAAATGCGGGAAGTGAGGGGCGTGAGTGCATGGAGTCAGTGAGGGAGGGAAGTGAGCGAGGGAGTAAAGGAGAGTGAGGGAGTGGGAGTGAGGGGAGTGAGGGGAGTGAGTGGGTCAGTGCAAGGACATATCGAAAGCCCACAATCCAAAAGTCAAACTCTTGCGTTCCAAACCAGCACTTCCCTAAGCCTCACAGCCTCACCCCTTTTCAGCTTTGGTTTCTTGCGCTCACAACGACACGATCCCGCCAGTATAACTACAGCATAATGCCAGTGTAATGCCAGCTCAGAGCTGGAAAAACGCCTGTGTGCTCATGGTATTCAGCAGGGTATGGCCAGTGAATTGTAGACACCTGAATCCTCCTACAAGGTACCCGGGTTCACTAGACCTTCGGGGCAGCTATGATACTTATAACTACCCCTGAACCTCCAAGTAGTATGGAATGCGCTCCCCTTTGGTGGGGCGATGACTACTCGAGAGGACGGCGTTGCGCACTTTTCTCGAGAGGGCCGCTGGCCACTCCTGCCAGTGCTCTGTTCTATTGAGGCTGAGGCACATGAAGTTCGTTTAAGAGGGTCTGCATGAGTTTTTGGTCTGATCCAGACACGTGGATGTTTGGCTCACTTGGTCTTGATGGAAAGCCGCTGCCAGCTGGATCGTCCACATCATCTGGGCCGTGTGCGTACCATTTGTACGCGGTTTCATACCTGAGGAGCATGGTCCGCGACTCCTTGGTTGCCATGTCGTTTCGGGAATCTGGTCGCACTACCATCAAACCATTCTACAGAAACCACCGGCTTCCGTATGAGCCGTTACCTTAAGGTTTCACTACTGCCGATTGAGGGTCAGAGTAGGTTGAGCATTTACGGTTTTGATTAACTTCTGGAGAAGTTTTGGATTCAACTGAGCGTTTGGACCCATTTGGTAATTCATACGAACCTAACTTGCTGAGCCCTTCCCCCATCATGTGTTGTAACACACTCTAGCGCAGATCGTTCTTTTGTTTAGGACCCTAAAATTAGCCAAGAAGGTTTACCAACATAAGAACTACCTATAGTCTCCATTGTAGTTCCTTTTTTTCGGTTAACCAGTTTTATGGTTCGGATCCTATAATAGAGATTTTGGTTAACCAAAAAAAAGGCACTACAATGAAGACTATAGGTATAGAACTGAAGACTGACCACGGCACTCAAAGCCCCGGGATCTGTCGATTGCAGACCAAGCAACGCCGGAGGTCTTGAGGAACTTTGCCTGCAGAGCCCCCTTGCTGTCGCAGAGACCTGGTCTACTGAATCAGATTCAGGGCTTTGGGGGCTTATGGGGTTCAGGACGTAGAGCTTTACGGCGCTTGGGGCTTCGTACCTGCCATGACAATCACACAGAATTTGCCAGCCTAAGAACAGAAGGGCCGACTATTCGTCAGTTTTACCATCCTCATGCGGCTTGCATTCTTGTCAGAGAGAACTCTCGAAACGGGGGTCCTCTTGCTTGTCTTGTGACAGGGGCCTAGCCTGGTGTGCCCGTGACTCTTGCCATCGTCAAGCCAGCAAGGGGGACAACGACTACACCCAAGAGTAACCTAGGAACAAAAAGGGTGCCCTTTTTGGTTTAAAGGGGCTTATAAGGGGACCTGAACCCTAAAAAAGGGAATAAGGGCCTACTCCAGGTCCTAGACGAACTTTAGTGCTCAGGGTCTAGGATACTCACATGCTTTCATCACGCCTCATTATCCTCGGCTGCCGTCAAGCCGTCATTACCCTGTAAGCCTGAACCCGAGCACGTAAAACCCGACAATAAGCCAAAATCTCCGAAATCTAGCCTCACCGAACCCTAAACCCTAAATCCTGAAACCCTACTCTACTTCAAGCTGCTAGCGCCCTGTAAGAATCAGGGCATGGGCATCTAAAGCGACCCACGAAAGCGAAACCCATACAGCCTAGAAGCTCTAGACATCCCTCAACCCTTAACTAACCAACCCTGAACTTTAAACCCCAAACATCCCTAAACCCTACCCCAACCTCCCAAGCCCTCAACCCGACAGCCCTATACCTCCAAACATCCCGAAAGCCTGAACTCTAAACCCCCAAACTCCTAACTAAGCCCTAAACCGCAACAAGGTCAGCTCGGCACGCGACTCTTCAGAGCCTCTACCGCACTCCGATCTCCAGAGCAAACGTAGCCTTGGCTGTTTAGGGTTTACCCTGAGGCCCCAAAGTAGTTTTTTTTTGGGGTTCGTATATAGCATCCCCTATAAAGGTAATCCCAAAAAGGGACTACTTTGGGGCCTATGGGTAGGGTTGAGGGCCAGCGTTTTTTGGCTTAGGTGTTGCTTTGGGGCTTTGGGCTTGCA